AGGCCGAGGGCCAGGCTGACGCACGACCACGGTGTGCACAGTCGGGGAGACCCGGTCAGGCCGAGGGCCAGGCTGACGCACGACCACGGTGTGCAGAGTCAGGGAGACCCGGTCAGGCCAAGGGCCAGGCTGACTCATGACCACGGTGTGCAGAGTCAGGGAGACCAGGACAGGCCGAGAGGCTCGCAGGAGATGCACCATGCACCAACTTTGTATCAGGGCAAAAAGCAAACGCGGCTCCGTCCACTCAGCCCCGCGCGTGCCTTCCCAGGAAGTCACCTGTGCCCTCTGCAGGCCAAAGGGGGGCTCTGGAGCAGCCAGTCGGCCACAGGACCATCTGGTCTAACCTAAGGGTGAGCGGCAAGCAGCCTGCCCTAAGCCCTGAAGCACCTCCTGTGTCAGCCACAGCCAGGGGAGTGTCTGTGCAGAGCCCCATTGAGACCACATCCCTTCCCAACTTCAAAGGGACCCCTTCTGTTGCACCAGAATGAGTAGGACAGTCACCTGCAATAATGACCCCAAACAGAGCGAACACACATCCACAAAGCAGCCTGCTGTACGAGCCACTGCAGTGGCCCCACAGGCAGAGGCCCCACAGCTAAATTGTGGAACAGCCCCCTGAAGAGTTTGCTCGTCAACAGTGAGTGTCCCCAGGACTTGACAGCACACATGGGGGCATCTGAGGCACTAATTCACAGGAGGCTCTGCTCGGCAAGGGGGAGAGGGCAGGGAAGAGAGACCGGGAAGAGAGCATGTGGGCACGGCCACGCTCGCCGCACCACCTGGGCACCTGGCAACACAGCGGGCCTTACTTCTCCGAGTCCAGCGCGATCAGAGCACTCTCTAGCGTCTCCTTGCCTGGCCCCTGAGGGAGGCCGGGTGCTGGCTTCACAGGACCCGATGGCCCTGTCAGCTCGAAGCCCTCATGCGCCTGCATGGTCAAGCTCTGTAGTTTGTCTCCCTCCATGAGGTGGGTCCCGGCACCGCTGCAGGGAGGGGAGAGAACAGAAACACTGGGCTGAGCGGACATGGCAGCACCCCGTCCCCAGGAACCCCACTCCCTCCACATGTGGCTCAGATGAGAGTGCGGTGATGGCCTCCCCACTTTCTCACTATTCACCCTGAATGACCCGGCCAGAGACATGGAGTTAGATTCCCTGGGAAAGTGATGTTCACAAACTCGGCAACTCTTGCAGGGGCTTCCTGTCCAAATTTGCTTTGTAAATGAGCTTCAGATAGAATCTATCCAGCCCGCTACCCCAATCCAAAAGAAAGAAAATCTCATCAACACGGGGAATCAACACGCATGAAACGCAGAATAAATGTGAAGGAGCCGACAGCGCCCAGTGTTTCGTTTGGAGATGTCCACAATCTGAGTCTCTCTCAAATGGCCTTCAGTGGAGTTTTCCACTTTCTTCATGTCAGTCTATTTACTGAGTTGGGTTTTTTCCTGGGCAGCTGGGAATTTCATTTCCCAGCTGCTGGTAGGGAACAAGGCCACTGACTTGTGTTGTCACTGTCTGATCTGATCTGTCTACTAACTCCTCATGCTAGGACCATTCCAGCTATTTCCACTGGACTCTTTCAGGAAGACAACTGTCACGTTTCCTACGTGAACACGTCTAACTCTCTGAGTCTGTGCTTCCTGGTCTTCAGCTAGGGCCTCCAATCATAATCTCAAACAAGGCGGTGAAGCGGATGGCAGTGGTGGAGGGTAACGCCCCCGATGTACACAGACAACTAGGGGAGGGCTGAACTGTTGACAAAAGATGCTGTGACGCACAGCTATGAGGACAGTATGACACCAGCTCAAACCAGACCCATGAGCCACAGAGCTGAGCTGAGTCGGAGAGGCCATGAGCCAGCGGCCGTGAATGAACCAGGGCTTCAACCTCATTCGGTCATGGTCAACAAAGCGAAAAGTGAACAGACTTGAAGTTTTACGATTCTGAAGCCCTGGAATGGAAGACTCGGAAGAGATGAAGTGAGCCCTTTCAGGAGCCTCATGAGTGAGACTGGATTATTGGCAGGACTGTGGAGAGTGGTGGAGCCCTGGTGGCACAGCGGTTAAGTGTTTGGCTGCTAACCAAAAACTCTACCAGCCACTTCTTGCAAACCCTATGGGAGAGATCTACTCTGTCCTATAGGGTCACTATGAGTCAGAATTAATTCGATGGCAACAGGTTTTTTGGTCTGTGAAGAGCGGCACACATTCAAAGAGGCACTGCCAGCCACCTTCTTTGATCTGGGCATTGCTGTTCTGGCTCTACTCTAAATCCGAAGGGCCAGAGATTTGGTTGCTATGCAATGCATACACTGCCCTTGTTTTTTAGAGGCTGTTAAGTTTCTAGCAAGACTTCAACCCATAATTTTTCCTGTTCCAGTTATCATTCTGGTTCACCCAAACTCTAAAAATTCGGGTCTATTCTGGTTTCACTTCGTCAGCCATGACTGAACCAGGAAGAACCAGTCCAAAGCCCTAAAATAAACGAACTTCTGTGTTCTGAGACATCAGCGGCCAGAGTCCGTGAGAAGCTTTCAGATGAAAGAGCAGAAACCAGCAACGACTCAGAATGACACATTTTCAGCTCCGTGACTGGGACAGCGCCACCAGATGCACTGCAGACGCCCAGGCAGCCTTCTGGCCCCTGGCGACCTGGCGGCCCGTCTCCGGAGCCCTCCGGCCCTCCACTCACCCCTCTGGAGCCCTCCGCTGCCCTGGCGCACCTGCCGGTAGTTGTGTCGGCCCTGCCCTCGGCGGCGGCAGCCTTCTCCAGCCCGGGCACCAGAGTCACAGTGGAAGTTGTGTCGGCCTTGGCGATGGTCACCTCCCGGGCCTTAGCGGCCTCCTCGCCGCAGTGGGGGCAATAGCTCATGTTGTTGACGCGAGAGGCACAGTCCTTGTGGAAGCGATGGGAAACGCTGCTCTCAGGCTGACACTCCATGAAATTACCCTGAAGGGAGAAGAACTTGCTCAGAGGGGTTGACACGGTGCAGCCTGGGTGACACCTCCCTTGTAGGCACCTCACAGGGTGCTTCCAGGCATCCTGCTTGGAGGGAAGACGCCAAGCCAGCAGAGCTGCCTCATCCTCTCCACCCCACAGGGGAGGCCCCAGGTCTGCAGCACCACTGTGCCCTGAGGGAATGGCCCGACCATGAACGGTCAGCCAAGGGTGTGAGGCTGACCGGCGAGGCCACTGTCCCTGTTCCCACAGGCCCCACTGGTGGCAAAGGCTGTGCCTACTGCCGAGGTCCGCGGTCTCAGCCTGGTCAAAAGAGGCCCTCACATGGGCTGCATTGAGGCTACAGGCACAAGCCTACCCAATGAGGCACAAGACCTACGCCCCAGGCCGGGACCCTGGGAGTCCCCGCACCAGGCTGCTGCCCTCTGCCTGCTGTCCTGAGCATGAGTGTCTGTGGCTACTCACCTCTCCGTCCCACTCTAGATTCACCTCCACAGGGCTTCAGCCTGTCCTTTCCTGTAGCCCCCTGCCCCATACATGAGCCCCCCACCACCCTCCCCTCCAGTCAACAGTCCTAGAGCTTGGGTCTGCCAATGATGATAACAACAGCAGCAGGGTAGGCCACGAGCTAGACCAGCCCTGACCAGTGCATGCAGGTCACGGAGCCCTTACCAACGCCGGGCGGCAGGCACACTGGGAGAGGTGAGGGAAGAGCCAACAGAGTGGACACCCTGCCCAGGGTCATGCAGTGGGGGTGTGGGCGGTGGCTTGGCTCTTGGCACCTTGGTCTGTAACCACCAGACTGGACAGCTGTCTCCACTTACTCATCCCTGCCAATCCCCCCTCTGCCTCTGTTTGACCAAACTACGAAGAGCTCTTATGAACTAATAGGAAAACTGAGGGCCAAAGGACAGGAACAGCAAAACACAGCAACACAAATGAGCAAGAAATATAAAAAAGAAGCTCAAACTCATTCACGTTAAAAATGTAACGCGAAAAAAAGAGATGAGTTTTCAAACTTGTAACTTATCAAGATTAGCTGGGACAGAAATAACTGGCAGTGTCCAGTACAGAAAGAATGTAGATGTTCATATGTATCGAGGATAAGAGTACAAATCCAACTCTAATGCCCATTTCTCAAGGCAACCTGAGATCACTCCCACAACAGAAACACAAGGACAAGGGTTCCACCATTTTGCTGTAAACCTGCAGCATGGGTCCTGGAGGCTGAGGGAGGGCAGCAGCCAACAGCATAGCCCCATCTACAAATACCCCATCTAAACAAGGCATATGCATGGGAAACCCTGGGAGAACCTGAGGGCTGCATTTAGAGCAAGGCTTCGAACCACTTCTTCCCGGTTCAGTCACAGCCGACCAAGTAAAACCAGAACAGACCCAAATTTTTAGAATTTGGGTGAACTGGAACAGTCACCGAAACGGGTAATCAGAATGGGAAAAATTACAGGTTGAAGCCCTGCCAGAAACTTAATCTTCCTTTTAGAAAACAAGGGTAACCAAATCTCTGGCCTGCCGGATACTGAGTAGAGTCAGAAACAGCGGTGCCCCACTCCAAGATGGTGGCCAACAGCGCCGCTTTGAATATGTGCTGCTCTCCACAGTCCTGCCAATAATCCAATCTCACTCATGAGGCTCTTGAAGGGGCTCACTACGCCTCTTCTGAGTTTCCCGTTCCAAGGCTTCAAATCTGTCAAAATTCAAGTCTATTTCAGTTTTGCTTCTTTGGCCATGACTAAACAGGTTTGAACAGGCTTAAAGCGCTGGCTTAAAGGCTACTCCAGTTCCATGTATATTTAAAATCATCTGAGTTTTTAGTAAGGAATTTGTACTATTTTTCCTCTTAAATGATGTTTTAACATTAAATTTGTTCTGCCACTGCACACCAGCGTGGACTTTCTAAACAGAAGCAAAGTATTGCAGTCTCCTCTAATTCTCGCCCCTCAGGTACCAGCCGTCCTCTCCTCTGATTCTCGCCCCTCAGGTACTAGCCGTCC